TGATGGCGCTCCCACAACTTCCGAGGGCAAGCTGTTCCATTGGTTGATTGTTCTCACTGTCAGAAAGTTTCTCCTTATTTCGAGGTTAAATCTTTCCTTGTTCAGTTTCCATCCATTATTCCTTGTCTGACCTACAGGCGCTTTAGAAAATAGCTTGACCCCTTCCTCTCTGTGGCAGCCCCTCAAATATTGGAAGACCGCTATCATGTCTCCCCTGGTCCTTCTCTTTACTAGACTAGCCAAGCCCAGTTCCGGCAACCGTTCGTTGTATGTTTTAGCCTCCAGTCCCTTAATCATCCTGGTTGCTCTTCTCTGTACGTTTTCTAGAGTCTCAACATCTTTTTTATAATCTGGTGACCAAAACTGGATGCAGTACTCTAGGTGTGGTCTTACTAAGGCTTTATAGAGTGATATTAGTACTTCTCTTGATCTTGACTGTATCCCTCTGTTAATACAATTTAGGATTGCATTAGCTTTTTTGGCTGCTGCTGCACACTGCTGGCTCATATTTAGCTGGTTGTCCACTTAAGACTCCAAGATCCCTCTCATAGTGACTGCTATTGAGCATGGTTTCACCCAGTCTATATGTATACTTTTGGTTTTTCTTGCCTAAGTGTAGGACTTTACTTTTTTCTACATTCAATTTCATTTGCTAACATCCCTATTATATCTCATTACGAAAAGCAAGCAATTAATTTAGCAATCCTTCACAAGGAAAGCATAGAAGTGGACTAATTAATTATTCATTAATCTGCCAACTGTTGAAAAAGATCTTATGTCTCTGGCATATCCATCCAGTGAACTTGCCCATAAAGATCTCTGGGACTGCACAATTTAGAGCTATATTCATTAGCTTATCATAATTACTGTAAGGATGAGGGAGATCATACAGTGCAAAGATGGCAGTAATAAATATAAAGGTACATTCCAAGCTCCCTTTAAGTCTTATTGACATCAACAGGGGGAATTAAAATAAATGTATCCAATCTGCAACAAATTAGTCTTTTTGACTAATTAATAAGGACTAATAAAAATTGTATACTAAAATCTTTCCTTGTATGATTAATTTTAATATTAGTAACATTTGTTCCTGCTCTTACTCTTCTCATGGTTGAAAATTATTCCCGCTTAACTACCAATGAATTTTGAAATAATAAAACTTTAACAAACATAACTGAAACATTCATCTTTAACTGTATAAACAGAACTGGTGATTAAAAACAGGACAATTTATATGAACCTAATTCTTATATAACATTAATATCTCAAGTTACACAAGGATATTACATACTATCAACTTTCTGGAAAAACTGCAATCGATAAATTAGATATTGATATTCTTAATATCAAAATTCAGGCCAGAGAGGAACTACAAATTAGGTGTCATCCAACATAAATTTAATGTTTTGTTCCTACAGGATATATAGTTCCCCTCCTCCTCCAACCTTGTTCTGAATGGTTACAATGCAATTTCCCTGGCAGCCAATGAGAGAAGTGGCAGTATGAATAGAAATTTGATTATATTCAGCTCTATCTCCTTCAGGCTATAGTAACTAGGTTCCTTCCTTGTGAGCACCCAGTAAATAATGGTAATTAATGCACCGCATTCTCCATTCCTTGTATACAAATGCTCAAATCTATATAAGTAAAGTTAGAAAAATATATAACTAAATATACAGTTTAGTTGTATATTTTTCTAACTTTACCTATACAGGTTTGAGCATTTGTATACAAGGAATGGAGAATGCAGTGCATTAATTACCATATAAATATATTGTTTAATTATGTATGAGTGGTCCTTGGTGCTCTCTGAGCTTGTTTTCTTGCAGCCATTTCATTACCCTAACTTGGTACCACCATCAGTGCTAGTAAGGAGTGCTGCTTGCTGACATTTTATATTCTGGTGTCTTGCCAGTCTGTGTTGGTGGGGAGGTCTTAAGATATTTTTTGGTTAGGCAGTTTACTAATGGCTGTTTGACAGTTTTTGATCGGAGTATTGTTTAATTATTAAATAAAATTTACAATAATAAATATTACAATAATAAATAAATAATACATAATAAAAATGAACATGTCTGCCTTGGAGTTTTGATTCCGTTGGGTGTGTTACTTGGAACCCTGACATCAGGGCCGTCAAACTTGCGGCCCCTGGGTCAGATTATCTGCCTCTACCATACAGAATGCTAGACTTTTAGTGTTGGTTTTTTTTTGGGTGGGATTTGTTACTCAGTGATTAGATTGATAGGCTTCGGGATGCCTTTATAAACCCTAACTATGGTTCAATGAAAAATGCATGCATCTTTTTAGGATTTGTACTTTAACGAAGGAGTAACGTTTTAGTGGAGATTGAACGATGATCGGAATTTTGCAAATGGTGTTGTGATGCTCCAATTCTGTACCTTTTAATGGGAGGAAAAGTTGTGTGATGGGGAAAAAAATAGAAAAAATGTCAAGTAAAAAAAAAGTTGTAATTGAAGTCAAGACTTCTTAGCTTCGTGATAACTAGCACAATAAAAGTTAAAAATGCTTCCTTTTATTTATTGTACCCCTACCTTCATAGTCAATTATGAGAGAGAAAGTAATTGGCCACAATAAATAAATGCATATATACAGGGGAAAAGGAGAAAGGGTTTGATTAAGGCAAATAAATATCTGTAAAGATAAGACTATCAACAGTTCACTGCAGCAGTTATGTTGAGGAATTTTCTGGATTTCTTAAAAATATTTTTATTACCATTTTTAATGAGATATAAAATCTAAAAAATAAGAAAAATATATATAAATAAAAAATGAAAGAGAGAAAGAAAGAGAGGGAAGGGAAGGGAAAGAATTTTTAATAAGGTACAAAAATTTTAAAATAATAAAAATATATAAAAATGAAAACTAAAATAATGGAATGAAATAGAAAGAGAGAGGGAGAGGGAGAGAGAGAGAGAGAGAGGGAGAGAGAGAGAGAAGAAAAGATTGTTCACTATGGGCTCTTTTTAAAAAAAAGTAAATACAGGTTTTCAGCAAAAACATCATTAACTGTGGTCACATGACTGTGGGATATTGCAAATGTAAGCTAGTTGCTAAGCGCCTGAAACATGGTCACATATCCATGGTGGTGGTTGTGATAACTAATTTTGCTGATTTTGTTAACCATCCCTCTAACCCTGAAAGTAGATCACTATCCATGTTATTCTATCAATATAATACAATTATCAAACATTTGGGAATAACACTACAAGGGTAAACATCCTTTTGCAAGTTTGAACAGCTGGTACGAGCTATAAAAAATAACAACCATACGTTTTTATGAAAAAAAAAACACCAGAGAAAACTCTACAGGGATAACTTTGATAAGAATCCAATTAGACAAGTAAGCTACTTAATAGAATTGGTGTGGACTTCCAAGCATCTGCAGAGGAAGGTTGGAATGCATTCAAAATATACCAAGCAAGTGGGGTTACTGTTACATATGTCTTTTGTTCTAAAGGGAACTATTAAATCTTTAAGGGAAGCAAGAGTATATGAAGTTTCAACAAAAATCCTGGCTGTTGTACAGAATAATTCGGATATCCTCCTAGAGAGAAAACTGGCAGTTGGAAATAGTTCAGTCTAAATAATTGCATTTTATTCTTGTAGCCTTGCAGTCTTGGGAGTTGGGCAATATAAACAGAGAAACAATCAAATGTGTGCTGTGCTTGGAAACAGGATTAGTTTTGATGGAAGAGTCCGAGTCTCCTTCAATCTTTGGCTAAAAATTGCCTATGTACAGATGACTTGGCTCCTTTCACTCACATCTTACATCTATATGGAAGAGAGTCTGATAAATGAATTGAAATTTTGTAGATTCACTTCTAGATTTGGCACTGTACCATGTTTTGAAAATGATCTGGCAAAGTATGTGGATGCAGAACCACAAAGAAATATATGTCTAATTTCCAGTCATGCGTATGTTAGATTGATTTATAGTAGCTTTATGTCTAGACCCTAACTTTCCAATATAGTAATAATAAAATATTGTATGGCTTTTATGCTAGCTGAATTTAACACCTTCTCTGAGTGTTAACAATGGGAAGACACCAGTACATATTTTAGCAACTTGCCTGGTTTTGTGGAAGTAACTCCAATTATATTACAAATGTAAATTCAACTGATATTACCACCTGGCTGATCTTGACTATACTCAGTAGGTAAACAGGGTTGGGCCGAATTAATCAGAAAGGAGACCACCTTGTACACCAGAGCTGCAGACCAACTTTTCCAAAGTTGCAAAAAAATACCTTGAAGAAGATAATGGCAAACCACTTCTACACCAGAAACACTACATATAAGAGTCCATTAAGTCACCAGAAATCTGAAGGAAACTTTGTAAAATAGAAAAGTAACACACAGTTGCCACTCTTCCACTCTAATCAATCGCTCTAATTTCTTATTCTATTCCTTCCCCCAAATCTTGAATGGGTAATTTG